ATCGGACTATGGGAACAGGGGTTTATGGGGGGTTTTATGGGGTAAAAATTTGTTTTTTCCATTTTGACCCTAAAAACTTAAAATTTAGCAATTTCTTTCCAAACCATTTTGTAGAGCCTAAAAAAACAAATAATTTAGTATATTGATGCGTTTAATATGCGCCTAATGGTTACGGAGAAAATTCCAAAAATCTGTAAATTTAAAATTCCTATTTTATTCTTATGGAGAATAAGTAAACTGTTGTAGTTTGCTTGTTTATAAACATATTTTGATGAAATTTGGAAAATGCATTCATTTCATACTAAACTATTAACATAATAAAAACCTTTTTATCCTCCTTGTTGCAGCAAACCTAAGTACTTGTTAAACTAATGTTATTTAAATAGGAAATAAATATGATATTTTTAAGGAGATATTTTAGTGTAAATCCAATCAGGCAAATGGAAATTCGCTTAGTCTGCAGGGTTGCATTTTTTAATTACAAGAAAATGGTTGATTTTATGAAAGAATGTCAAGAACACTTTTATTTATCATTGGAAATTTCCTATCAAACTACCTCAATTTCAAAAAGGTCAAATAGAAAATAGCCAAAATATAAGATTTTTAGTTGTAAAATGAGGCAAACTTAACCAGCTTAGCCTTGTTCAACCTAAATAAATAAATAATTCTTTATTGTCACATCAACGTTTTAAATCATAGCACAGCTAAAAAACAGATGACATTGTCAAGATTATTACTAACTTAACCTAATGTACAACAATATGTCTTATGCATAAAAGATGTTTGTAAACAAGTTGGCAAAATTTGTTAAACAATGACAGAAAGAAAATTAGTTTCTATGTCATACAAAATAGAGTCATATTGATTGGTTAGTTTCATTGAGATAATCATCAACACTGTAATACGTTTTGCTAATCAGAAAATCAGCAAGGCTGCTTTTAAAAGATTTATTATTAATTACATTTTTTAGAGTTGAGGGTAGTTTATTAAAAAGTTTTTTTCCCATGTATTTAGGTGTTTTTTCTACAAGCTTCAGTTGGTGTCTCGGATATTGGAAATTGTTTTTAAATCTAGTGTTATATATGTGGTCAAAGTTTTCGCTAGTGTAGTCATCAAAATTTGAATGCAACGCTAACAATGTTTTGTAAATAATCAAATTTGGAATAGTCATAATATTCAATTCTTTAAAAACTGTTTTGCACGAAGATTTCCATGGTAAAAAAGTCATAATTCTTATAAACTTTTTTTGAATTTTAAAAACTTTTTCAATTTCAGAGGCGAACCCCCAAAATTCAATTCAATACTGTACTATTGAATAAAAGTAAGCATAATAGAGCATGACAGAAGTTTTCAGGTCTATAGAATTTCTTAAGCATAACATTTGAAAACAGGCTGAATTTAATTTTCCAATTACCGACTGAATGCACTTACTCCAGGTCAAGTGTTTATCAATATATAGCCCTAAAAATTTTACATTATCATCAGTTGGTTGAGATTGATCAGTGAGTGCCATTGATTGGGGTGTACAAAATCTTACAAATTTGGTTTTCTCTTCATTCATTTTCAATCCATTGTTCTCAAACCACTTCCCCAATTCGGTTAGGCTTTCTTCAATATTATGTTTTAATCCCTCATTGTTTTTTGTTTTAACTACTGCAGTAGTATCATCTGCGTACAGAATTAGATTATTTGAAACATTTTTTGGAAGATCATTGATATATATAAGAAATAGAAGAGGCCCCAAAATCGAACCTTTTAACACCTATTTTAATTTTTTGCCATTTTGACTTTACTTTTAAATTATCTTTACAAATGACTGTTCTCTGATAGCGATTATTTAAGTAAGATTTCAACCATGACACTGAATTTCCAGAAAAGGGATACGACTCTAGTTTTTTAATGAGGATATCATGATTGACACAGTCAAACGCCTTGGATAAGTCACAAAACACCTCATTATACAACTAAAATATTTGATATTTCAGTTAGAGCCTATTTGTTATTTGATCTTTTTGAATTTGGTATCGTTTCATAGGAAATTAAAAATGCACAATTAAAGTTTTCCTGACATTCTTTGAAAAAATCTGCAAATTTTTAGTAATTTAAATGTAAAAGATTAAATGGTCACCATTCTGAAAGGTTTAGTGGGACCAAAACAATTTTTTCTATCATTGGTATCTTCTATCCTAACATACATACACAGTTTCATAAATCATTATCAATAAATAAATCATAAATGTATGATCAATCCAAAAATAAAAATGTTAATTTGAATAACCCCCGCCGCAGGAAACCTGCAGACTAAGCGAATTTCCATTAGCCTGATTGGATTTACACTATAAAATGTCTCCTTAAAAATATGACATTTATTCCCTATTTAAATAGAACTAGTGGTCGTCCAGTGGTCGAAAACTCGACCAAAAATATGTAATGTACCCGCATTAAATATTGGATACTGAAGTAGACATTCCATATATATGGACCAGTTGTCACAATTTTTTTATTAAAAACATGTAGTTGTGTGAACCAGTCACAGTACCGGTATGCGTGACTAAAATTATATTTTCTATCTTATTTTTTGTTGCTGACAAAGTTGATGAGTCATAAGAGTTAGTTGCTGTAGCTCTTAATAAGTCATTTCATAAGTTTGACTTTGTAAAAATCATCTTGTATTCGAGAGAAATTAGTCATTTGGATAAGCGCAATCTGTTGGTGGCCCACATCAACTACGGCGAATTTAATTAAAACTGGCGACATCTGTAACATAGGGATGGAATGTCTAGTTGTAAGTCAAAGGTACAGGCTTCTCTATTTTCACCCCACGCTGTGAATAAAACATGTGATTGTAATTTCTTCCATTTGTTTTGATTTTCTGTGGTTTATATTCCGTTGTTATTTCGTCACCCATAGTAACCCATAATCAATAACGTTCGTTGCATAGTAACCCATAAAGCCCATGTTATTTTTTTTTATTTCAAATTCATTTGTTGTGCTTATATTTGAGCCTATTTTAATTTGAGATTCTGCACATCTACAGGAAAATATCTTTCCAACAGTATGCGTAGATTTTCCCTGCGATGCACACGAGCTGAGAAAAAAGATTTTAAAGAAACATGTTTGCCTATTAATATATGGATTAGTTTAACGAGTTCTTAGGTTTGCTGCAACAGGGAGGGTGAAAAAGTGTTTTTTTTTTGTAAAAATTTTATAGTTTAGTAAGAAATAAATGCATTTTCTAAATTTGATCAAAACGTTCATAAACAAGCAAACTACAACAGTTTACTTATTCTCCATAAGAATAACATGGGAATTTTGAAAATATAATATTTTGGAACTTTCTCCGTAACAACAGGCACATAATAACACAATAATAGATTTTGTACATACCTCAGTCAAATAGTCCAATAAATGATATTACTCAACAGCTTACATGTTTTGTTACGAAGACAACATTTTCAAAGCTTGCAACTCGTCAAAAACACATTGAAAACACGGACACGAATAAAGTAAACATTAATACGGTACGAATACACGATAGACATTTAGATAGCGCTATCATAATACTGATTTGGTCCATGTCACGTCGTCTCCTGTACTGTACACATAATAACGCTTCAATATACTAAATTATTTGTTTTTTTAAGCTCTACAAAATGGGTTCCGAAAGAAATATTATGATTTGGGGTCAAAAATAGGCAATACCAATTTTTACCCCATAAAATCCTGTTCCCATAGTCTGATCATGCTGGTTCGCGAACTCGAACTCGTTTGAATAAATGTAGGTTTATACAAAATTTCATCAAAATCGGAACATTTTTGCTCGAGTTATCGTGCTAACGGACACATATGTATATAAATAAATAAATAAATACATTTTATAGTTTAGTAAGAAATAAATGCATTTTCCAAATTTGATCAAAATACGTTCATAAATCATCTGTATATCTAAATTATATTTATTTATATACAAACAAACAATATAAACAACAGTTAAGTATTTAATGTATTTGAAGTTTGAAAATGGACTTATGTTCGAAACATGTCACTTCTTTAAAAAATATAATATTCAGGGTGCTCAGTTGTACTTATTTACTACAATATTTTAAAATAAATATATATATGAATTTGAACGGATGGTGTTTTTGGCCTCTAAGGACCTCTAAACGAAAAAGTAAATCGGTCCCGGGTCCAGGTCTTACCATGAGTACTACGGTAATACGGTAGCTTAATCCCTATATGGGAAATTCGCTAAAAGATAACATTTTGGATATTTGGTTAACAAATTTATTTTAAAACAAATGTTATTCTTGAATTTCTATTTATTTGGACCCGATGAACCATTTCCCAGAGTTTAGCTGTTTTCTTACGGGACACTCTGTTTAGGCCTATACATATATATCAAATAAGACTTTGACCTCTGGGGACATAAAAATTAAAAGGTATATCGGTATTGGGTCTTACCACCTACGGGTAATACAGTAGCTACTTCCTCTGCAGCCATTCTACCCACCCCTATAGCCACCAAAAGATCAACCTAAACTACTATTTTAACATAATACACCAAGTTTCGTAAAGATCGGTTGGAAAATGTCAAAGATAAAAATGTATAAAAAGCAAAATGGTGGATATCTGGGTATATATTCATGTTCTGACATACCTTTATATGAACATTTTTCTTTATTTTGGTATGAGGAATCATACCAAATTCCTGAATCGTTTTGAAGGACACCCTGTAAATATTATGAATCTGAATAGGATTGTGTGGGAGTTGTTCATGATTTTGCTGCGATTGCAGAAGACGACGATGATGTTCCATTACTGCGGGAGTTATTCAGGGTTTTGGCGTGACCGTGGGAGAAAATTACGATGATGTGGGGGGGAGGGCTTTGCCTCTAATCTCGCCCCCCCCCCTCAATCTAAAGCTAGATCTGCCACTGTTTAGGTGTTTTTGAGCTCATGGTTGCAAACTAGATCATGCAATATACAAATAAGGACACCTCTATTAGAGTTGTAATTTATTCGACTTTGATTGGACATGAATGACAATTATCATTAATCTTGTGTGTAGGGCCTACTGCTTAGTCATCATCTTCATTTTCATTCTCCTCATACCCATCTGGTAATGGATTGACATGAGCATTATGGAAGAAAGAATGGTTACCGTCGCCCCAGGGAAATTTCTTTGTACGGATTCTCAAATGATCGTAGGGAATAAACTCAAGCTGTTCCTCACACTCGGTTTTCTTAGCAACAGCACTCTTGTACTGCACAACGGTAGTTACCAATATTGCAGGTAAACACACAAACAGAGCAATCGCCTTGTAGGTTTTGTAACTGTGGCCTCCGTTTTGGGTCTGCTGAGGTCCATCGCAGCGCAGTTCTGGTGGACACACAGATTTCCTCTCCTTTTCTTGGCACGGAAGTTCATGTTTAGTAGAGGCATTGTTTTTACATTCTAGTGCATACTTGAGAGTGGAACTAAGACGACATTGCCCAGTAAAACTCCAGTTCCCAATTAATCTGCACCAAAGAGACATATTAAATATTTTCATTATCAATTCATAATTTACAAAACATAATTTTGATTTTACTTGGTTGATTGAAATTAATATTCAAATGTTTATTTAGCAGTTTAACAGATTTTATCAATAGTCAACATATGGCTTATTTATAAACTTGATTGTTAGTTGTTACAGGCTTGGTTACCTATATCAGTATTTTTATATTGAAAATTGCCTTTGATTTTTGGTTACTTATTAATTATCTTAATTTGATATGATCACTTTTCTATAAGAGTGAATGATAATTAGTTAGCAATACCCCCTACTATCGCTTTTACGTCTTGTATTAATATCCACATCATAAATACAGTAGAAGTCCCCTTATCTGACCTTAGCATAACTGACTCCTTGGAATGGGAATATCATTGCTTTGAAGTGCTGTGCCAGTCCCAATGAGAATCACAAGCATTCAGAACAGACAACCTATTTTTTCTCTCTTGTCATTACATGTTTATGTCTTTTCATTGTAACATACTTTCTCAACTTTTCCTTTCTACGGCTTTATACCTTTTTCAGGACTCTCATTGACTGAACACTTGAAGAAATTATGATACTGTAAGAAAGGGGATTAACCCTGTACACACGGTGATCATCTACGCAGACACTCCTGTTCACATTACACTTAGTCGACCAGTTGGTGTGAACAGAGTAAACAGTAGCATGAGCATTGATTTTCAAATTCCTTTCCCAGCTGACGTGAGCTAGGCGATGACCGGTAGGGCTAACTTCTAAGGAACAACTATAACCTATAAGCCACACACACTATTGGTAATCAGCCAATGAGAAAGTCCAATGAAGAAGGTGGAGGGATGACTAGTCTTGGAGTTGGAGGACCTGGGAGGAAAAATCGAGGAGATTACCGCGAGCTGAAAGGAAGATCGGAGTGCGTGTGTTGTGGGTGCGTATGCTTCAGGGACTTAATTTATAAAGATAAAAAAAAAATTAAGTGATATAGTTTGTTATTAACTCATCTTTTAATTTTTCCATTTTTTTTTTTACTTAACCTTATAAATCTTTTTTTACTATTATTGCTCTTTATTTTTTTCAAAGTTCTTATTTGCTGTTATCACCCTTTGTAACTTCTTTTGTTTTCTAAATTTATTTGTTTTTTACTCGTTTAGTCACACCTATAGCAGTCTTATGTCTTTTACACCCTTTCACCTCTCTAGAACAGCTAAGCGAGTGTAACTTTAAGAGACTTTATTTTAAGAGAGGCATGTGAAGCGTGTACTATTATTCATAGTTACGGTACTGGACTCATAAGGATCGTTAATGTTCAATATAATCAATTTATAGATGTGTGCAACATTCTAAGGTGAATTATAATAAATTTAAATTAATTACTGAGCCAAACCACATCCATATCAGCCATTTTGATGATCTAATCCTTATATATAATACGTGAAGGCGATTTCTTGAAAACACTACTCCTCCGTTAATAATGGACGGATTTTTACAAACGACGTGTCAAAATAAAGTATTTTTTGTGTAGACGCCCCCTTTCACCAATTCATGTAATAAAAATCCTCGGGCTTTGCCCCACAGGCCATCAAAGTTGGATTTTCTCCCATAAGATTAACATGGGGGAATTTAAATATTTAATTGGAAACTTTGTCCCCACTAATTTGAGAGAACGGATGGGCGTAGAAACTTGGTAGAGGTGTCCAAAGAAAGGTCTTGGTCTGTAGATGAGATATCAAAAGAAAAACTAAGCAAAATCCCTTAGGGCTCTGCCCCAGAAGCCTTTAAAGATCCCTCCACAGAGTTGTTTACATTTTGGCCATGTGAATAATACTTTTTAATAAAACAGCTGTTCATTTTTAAATTGTATTTCAAACCACACATATTTATTGGGTTACTGAATTGTACCAAATAAGTATTTGCAATGTTATTTTCTGATTTTAAAATTAATTTTCCTCTTTATCATGTCATGTTTTGCAATATAACGTTCTATTACGAAATCAGTGGAAAATCCTTTGATAACAGAAATTCTTAAATTATTTCTTATTGAACTATCTTATATCTATTGTACGGGTTGGTGTCTGCCTTTTTCACCACTTTTGCCTAAATTTTATCATATTATTCTACACATATCAAATATTCATGTAGAAATATCTGCTCTTATCGTGTCTAATAAAATCCAAACATAGAAACATTGCAACAAATTATTTGCACCTGCCTATATTACGGACTTTGGCGCACTGGGTTGGTAACATTATTGAAAATAACACGACATTTTGGCTGTAAAATATGGTACAAAGAGAAAATACTATTTTAGCAGTTACTGTCATGACAGAAAGGTCATATTCCTTTTAAACTAGACCTCATAATCCTTTATAAGATACGTTGATTTACAATATGTAAACGTCAATATATACGCAACAGCCAATTTACAGTATTTTTTCTTTTTGGAAATGTCCCATTGCTATGTCATTTGCATTATTTGTTGCCAATGAAGCCGCAAGACCATATAAACTAGGAGGTCCCTAACAGTTTAAGAATAAAAGCCAACTTCACTTCAAGTATTCCACTACACCTATCATTCCGTAGAGAGATTATATTGACAACTTTATGTTATTGATAAGGCTGAGACAACTAACTGACATCCCCCATGTCAAGGAATTCCAGCTTTAACAGTAACCCCACAATAAATTTCTCATAACTATGCTAGAGGGTTCATTCATTGGCACAGAAGTACGATATGAACTGACGCAACGTGACGAAGGAAAAATCAAACTTACACTGTAACGGATATACCTCCCTTTGAAGTTAGAACATTTCTTCCCAAAAAATATTTTCATTTAAAATAAAATCATATTACACTGATGAAATCACAGAAGTGTTTAACTACAAAAGACCCACCAATACGATTTTAATACTATTTAAAGGTTCTTCCAAAGGAAGGGATATCATATAACATACTAATAATAACTCCGATGAGTCAAATGACGTACGGTATGGGAAATATTTTAATCATTGAATGATCAACCAAATTTGGCAACTAACGCAATTAAAATCATTATTGTTTTCACACTTACTACCCTTTAAACAATGCTAAATGCTCAAAATATGTATATTTCACCCAATTTATCGCAGTTAGATGAATTAACGTAAGCCTTGAAAGTAACCGTCGATTTCGACGGGTTTCCCCTAGTATTTCTAATTCATCTGATTAAATATATAAAGTTAAGAACAAGTAAACCTTCCACTCGCACCTTAAGGGCCGGAGTGTGCTAAAAAGTATAATTTACATACTAAGCAGATATAGTTAATAGTCCCCTAAACCCCTTATCCCCCCCCCCTTTCTGAAAGATTTTGAACATTATATAAATATTTAGTTCTAGTGGTAAAACTTATCCATCTGTAGACAGGCGTCCAGCATGAATCCACTCGGGTAGACTCCTGGCACACAAATCCTAGTCTCACGGCCTTTCCTACCCCCTCCCAAGTTCTCCAGATGTCAGCTGATATACGGTATGACGCGGTCAGCTGTGACGCGAGCGTCACAACCTCCCTGACTTAAAAAAGAAAGAAAATTTTTAGGTATGGTAGGAAGGTAGGGTAGGTATTAGGTAGAACTACCCCTGTGTTTGCGCCGGACTTGGGTACTTGATGACAGTGGTGGTGCCGCTTGAGTTCGCGCTTTCCTTCGTGGCACGTCTCGGCGTGGGTCCCTGCTACCATGGGCAATCCAGTGGCGGGCTAGCGCGACAGTCACCACTGTACTTCTGAGGCTTAGGTGCTTTTCGGATGTTCTGGTGTGTTGAGACTTCCTTATACTACTGCTTGTGCTTTGATAATGTGCGTCTGGTTTTGTGAGAGGGAAAAATATATCTATCCCTTCGCTAAACTAATGAACTATTGATCGAACAATTTTGTTTGTTTGTGGAATTATACTTTTGAACTTGTTGATGGCCCTAACTAACTTACATTAATTAAAACTAAGCTAAAGGTTTTGACGGGAGTATATCGGTAATAATTTGTATTTTTTTTATATATATATTTTTTTTGTACTGCTTTTAGCAGATTAAGTATATGGTTGATCTTTTGATGGGCTTGAAGTTGTAATCCGACGATCTTGCCATGACATTTGGGACTATATATTTCTTTTAGACGTGTTGCCTTTACTACATTCTGGGCTGGTAATGAAGCTTTCCAATATGAAGTTCTTCCTGAAGATCTGTGTGAATTCCTAAACGACATGGTATATTAGGTGAGGTCAATACTTCAGTACGGTATGATACATATTTTGGGCATCACTCACCTTATTGAAATCACGATTTGAAAAAATAAAGAGCAACAATAGTAAAAAAAGATTTATAAGGTTAAGTAAAAAAAAAAATGGAAAAATTAAAAGATGAGTTAATAACAAATTATATGACTTAATTTTTTTTAAATCTTTATAAATTAAGTTTATTTTTCATACTGCCAAATGGTCCCTGAAGCATACGCACCCACAACACACGCACTCCAATCTTCCTTTCAGCTCGCGGTAATCTCCTCGATTTTTCCTCCCAGGTCCTCCAACTCCAAGACTAGTCACCCCTCCACCTTCTTCATTGGACCTTCTCATTGGCTGATTACCAATAGTGTGTGTGGCTTATAGGTTATAGTTGTTCCTTAGAAGTTAGCCCTACCGGTCATCGCCTAGCTCACGTCAGCTGGGAAAGGAATTTGAAAATCAATGCTCATGCTACTGTTTACTCTGTTCACACCCCTACTGAAAAAGGTATAAAGCCGTAGAAAGGAAAAGTTGAGAAAGTATGTTACAGTGAAAAGACATAAACATGTAATGACAAGAGAGAAAAAATAGGTTGTCTGTTCTGAATGCTTGTGATTCTCATTGGGACTGGCACAGAAAATATATCTGCAGAATCCTAATCGGAATCCTAAAGTGCCATGTGATTATTGTAGAATATTGTTTAATGAAAACTATCTTTCTAGTCATGTTGATATTTGTAAATAAAATCCAACCATACAACAGCCTATAACAAATCGGTTGGCTCCTTCTAATGAAGATGAGCCTCAACCCAGCACTAGTGGGATTAGTAGCTTAAAACGTAAATCCTTACCGGATTCGATTACTAATGGGCAGTCCCCAAATAAAGTTATACGTTTGGAAAATGGGTTTAGACCTTCCGGTATTCCATTTACACCACCTTCAATGTTTAACAAAATATATAATACTGCGAGCTCTATTTATTCTGGCATAAAGAAGATTGTAACAAATACCAACTATCCTCCGACTACTGATGCTGAAATTACTCTTAGCAAACACGCATTTAAGAGGAGATTGAATGTTTATCAAATAGAAAACAATCATAATATAAAAGATCCCAAAACATTTTTAAATAGACTTAAAAGTTTAGTTGTTGAGAAAATTCAACACCACCTGAAAACATCTAAAGTTAAAGTTAGATTTGTATTGCTGATTGATTATGTGAGGGATCCAGAAATTGCAGAGTTTAATTATAAAACAAAATATGAACCTATTTTATTAGCAAGTGATTTATCAGAATATTTTGAGACCGCTATAGGGGATCTTTTAGCAGAAATGGAGGATTTTTCAAAAAAAGGTTCTGGTTTGTCACTTAGCAAAATTATTAGATTAGAACTGCATATAAATTAATACAAACCAATCAGGGGTTCGAGTTATATAGAATTGCCTGATGGAATAAGAGAAAAAAGGCTGTAATAAATGTGAGAAACAATGACCAAGTGTTTCTTGTGGTCTGTTTTATCAGCCCTTTATCCTGCCGCAAAGGATCCTCAAAGAGTTACAAAATACAAACAACATGAACACAAATTTGATGATGCTTTTAAAGATATTGATTTCCCAATAGTTTTGACTGATGTAGTAAAATTTGAAAAACGATCGGGGGTTTCTGTAAATGTGTATGGTTGTGAAAAACAAGAAAATATCAATGATGGGGAATACTTTGAAGATTATCCTGGATGCAACAAGAAAAATTACAAAGAAACTGAGGAAAATAAATCAAAATACATTACATATCCATTATACATAACTAAAGACGAAAAAGACAGTCATGTAAATTCGTTGTATTTAAAAAATGTAGAAGGTATTGCTGGATAAAAAAACTTAAGTCGATTAGTGTCAACCCAAATCAGTAAAAATGCACACACAAAATGGATATGTAATCGCTGCCTCATGCATTTTAGAGAGGAGCGTCTACTACAAACACACAAGGAAAATTGCAACAATCATAATCCTATAAGTGTAAAAATGCCAAAAATGATAACTACAAAGAGTGGGGATTTTCCTCCACAGGTTTATTTCCGCAATCATTATAAAAAGATGAAAGTCCCCTTTGTATGCTATGCCGATTTTGAAAGTATTTTAGCACCCATAGCGTCATGTGATCCCGAGTTGTCGGATGATAAGTCATATACCAAAAAATATCAATCTCACGAAGCCATCAGTTTCTCATTATATGTTGTATATAGTGAGGGTGATTATAAGGACCCAATTGATTATTTCGGTCCAGATGCTGCAAAGATGTTTGTTGAAAGTATTGAGAATGTATCTAAAGAAGTAGCCACATTATACAGTAGAGATGCTACCAAACCCATGTGTTTAACAGATGATGATCGTCTAACTATAGCTACTGCTGTCATATTTGTTGTGGGCGCTTTAACGAAAAAGATGAGAGAGCTCTTGACCACGATCATCTCTCTGGAAAGTTTCGAGGTGTGGCACATGATAAAGTTTGTAATCTGAATTTCCGCAAACCCAACTTCACACCAATCTTTGTTCACAATTTGAGTAATTATGACACCCACCTGTTTGTAAAGATGTTTGGTATAAACAATGAGAACATTCGTGTTGTGCCTAATAATGAAGAAAAATACATATCTTATGAGGTGGTTGTTCCTGGTGGTGTAAATTTACGATTTTTAGATTCATTCAGATTCATGCCTTCTAGCCTTGATAGTTTGGTTAAAACCTAAACAGAGATAAATTCCGACACACTTCAAAATATTTTAGTGGGGATAAACTAAAACTGGTGTGTAAAAAAGGAGTGTATCCATATGATTATATGGACTGTATTGAAAAGTTTGATGAGACCGCTTTACCCCCGAAAGAGTCATTTTATAACAGACTAGCTGTTTGCCCGTTCTACGTACGGGAATCTTGTAGCAAGTTGAAACCTTCTTATTTTCAGAACAGGAGTTGGTTTGCATATGAATATTTCCTGATATGCTGGCAAAACTACTGTATAGGAATACATATCAACCTTCGCAAATACAATATCTGACAGTTTCAAAGCCAAAACAAATGCTTCAAAATTATATGTCACCCAATCGTGTTAGTCCATATTTTATATCTAATGATAAAAGGAATTGCTTCATAGATCTATGAGGCATACGCCTAAGGAGTAAGGTAGGCCTGTAATTAAAAGTTACTTTTCACACTGGTTAAAAGTAGTTAAAATACTACCTCAACCTCACTACTGCACACTTATTCGGGTTGAAATTTTCATTAACAAAGGTGCTTAATGTTAATGCTTAAAACATCTCGTCTTTTCCACGAAACACTGAGAAATAAGGACATTAATGCGTTACCAACAGACAGCATACACACACAAATACAGAATTGAATTAGGTTTGATTTAGGTTGATTTCCTACGCATTAACATTGCAAACAAAACAATTATTTGAAAGTTTTTATAGTGTCATCAAATGGCTAGTTGTAAATAGTAATGTGTTTGTACGTAAAAATGATTCTTACTGCTACCACCGGTTCTAAGGAAAAGAAGCAGTACCAAAAACCAACGTTTACATTTAAGAAAATAACTATAGTACTTACGACCAATTCAAACTGTCCTTCTAATCAAACTGTATTATAGGTGTTAATCCGTTGGCAAATATATAAATAAATAAATACACAGGCCACAAAACATGTAACATGTAACGTTAACAACGTAAAGCTTTAAAAACTCACTATGGTTTGCTAAAAAAAAAAACTTGCACTTGATGGGGTGCAGTCGGGGGTGCAGTACCGAAGTTATTAATCTCCCTTGGTTTTAATTTTCTTTTTAAGTTTTCAAAAATCAAAGTTATTTCCCATTAATAGCATTATTTGTAAGCAACTTTTAATGTTAACATATTAATGACAGTTTAAAGAAACCACCTTTATCCAAACAAAGGGTTTCTTATTTAAAAGATTACGTAATCTCTAAACGATAATCGGTACATATATCTAGCAAACATTCGGAGGAAATGTTACAAAAACGCACAAATCTGGGGTTTTGGACGTTTTTAGTTTTACTTCCTAGTTAGGAAAAGTACCGATATCGTTGTCGAAATATAAGTAGAAACCAAAAGTGAACAACACATTGGAAAAGCGAGTTTAGCTACATCTGTAAGTTAAACTTCTGTTACGATCACAGCGAAATCAGATAGATCTTCCAAGATTTCAGCAACATCCACGATCACCCACTGCATTTGTGATTTTTTACTTTGCACTTTACACAACTGTCCTTGAAACGTTGTCAATAAGTGAAAACCTTTTTGTAAGCTATTGGTGACGATGATTAAAAAAATGTTGGTAAGTTTCCCAGCACTAATACAACACTGATTTACGGCATTTTCCCCGGTTATCATAACTCAAGAACAATCGTTGCACTTGCGATTAATTAAACCGGTTAAGTAAGGCACAACGTTTTTAATCTCACTTGGTTTGGATGTGCTAACAAAACTTGATCGGAAATGGTTGCGGTATTTGTAAACAACTTTTAATGTAAACATATCAGTGACAGCTAGAAGTGAGAACTAATCCAAACAGCTGATCGTTATTTCATAAAATGTAGTAGTTAACATTAGGAGAAAATTTGACAAAAATCGAACGAAATTGGGATTTTGATGGTTCGTTATTTTGTTTTCAAAGAAGCGAGGCCATGTTTTTATAGCCAAAGACACTCTCACCAATCCAGTAAATACAGAAAATGATTAGAACCTTGATCGGTAATCTAGTTTTCTAGGAGAAGGCCGCGTAAAATGACATTTTGGCGTTACAGACGGAGTCACAGAATGGACAAACAGACAAACAGACATACAGACAGAAATTGAGATAAGACTCGTTTTGGCTTTCTTAGGCTATGAAACGTAAAAATAACCAAAAACTGCATGATTCTAAGCAATATACAGACAAAACTCTAATTTTATTTATATAGATTAAATAAATCCAACATCGAGGATAGCGACTACGAGCATGCCTGCAAAGTGTGGGAGAGTTTCCAGATTAAAAACTTAAAAGAATACACCATGCTGTATAACAGAACAGACACGCTGCTCCTTGCGGATGTCATTGAGAACTTTCGTGAAGTTTGTATGAATACCTACAAACTCGATCCGGCTTGGTATTATACCTCTCCGGGCTTAGCGTGGGACGCCATGTTGAAAATTTCACGTGTAAGTCTGGATCAGTTAACAGACTATGAGATGGTTTTAATGATCACCAAAGGAATTCGAGGAGGGGTCTCGCAGTGTTGTCACCGATACGCTAAGGCCAACAACCCATATATGCACGATTATGATCCAGAAGAACCCAACTCCTATCTTTTATACCTTGACCAGAACAATATGTATGGTTTTGCTATGGTGTTGTTGCTATGTTAGGGGAATATACGGTGGTTAGAGAACATAGATAATTTTGGCGTACGTGGGGTATCAGACACATCGTCGACTGGTTATATACTAGAGGTTGATTTGGAGTATCCTAAAGAGCTACATGACAAGCACAGAGATCTCCCACTAGCACCAGAGTTACGATCGCCTCCGGGTTCGAAAACTAAAAAGCTACTCACCACCTTGTATGAAAAAGAAAAATACGTACTACATTATCGCAACTTGAAATTATACCTCTCGTTGGGGATGAGACTGAAAAAAATCCATAGAGTTATAATGTTTCACCAAGGACCGTGGTTGAAGCCATATATAGATCTAAACACAGATATGAGAACCAAAGCGACCAACGATTTTGAAAAGGATTTCTTTAAACTCATGAACAATTCGGTGTTTGGAAAAACTATGGAGAACATCCGGAACCGCGTAGACATCCGACTCGCCACACAAGACAGACAGATAGAGAAGTGGGTTGCCCGGCCCAATTTCAAGAGCAGCACTGTTTTCACAGAAAACCTGGCCGCTATTCATATGAGCAAAACCACCTGTTATTTCAACAAGCCCATTTATGTCGGAATGAGTGTTTTGGACATATCGAAGACGTTTCTTTATGACTTCCATTATAATGTTCTGAAGAAGAAATATGGCAACAGGGTTAGAGTCGAGTATACTGACACAGATTCTCTTAACGTGGCCATAGTCACCAATGATGTTTACGAGGATGTGAAAAGCATGATTGAGCATTTCGATACCAGCGACTATAAAGAAAATAACCTCTACGGCATGCCCCGCGTAAACAAGAAGGTCTTGGGTAAGTGGAAAAACGAACTCACCGGTGTGGTGATGAGGGAGTTTGTGGGTCTGAGGTCGAAGATGTACGCATACAAGGACGAAAAGAAAAAAAGCGGAAAGAAGGCCAAAGGTGTGAAGAAATCCGTAGTAAAACACGAGCTGACGTTCGACGATTATAAGACCTGCCTGTTTGACAGTGTGGACATTTATAAAACAATGAACTCCATAAGAAGCAAGGGCCACGAACTCTACTCGATAGAGCTGCACAAAAAGTCCCTATCTGCTCATGATGATAAACACTACATTCTAGATAACGGCATTGACACTCTTCCGTGGGGCCATTACAACGTGCCGATTGAACTAGTCGCAGAGCTGGAGATTCAAGCGGCTGAAGATATAGATTAAAAATATCGACAGAGTAAAAAAAATATTTTTTTTCAATTATTTATAACAATTACAAAAACAAATAATCACTCAATAGCCTCCTTCGGCGGATGCATATCTTTTATGATTGTTCAAAAATGCATCACTGACATTTTGGTGTTTTCCAATCATCTCCCAATCCACTTTATATCTGTGGTTGTGAACAAATTCCTCTGTTAGTTTTTGATATCTACTCAACGCCTGCCAACAGTCGTCAAAATGAATCATCATTTCATCAAGTTCGCTTTCTGAAAATGTGCGAAATCGTAATAGAGTCGCCCACACCAATCGATGTTGATACATTCTGATAAATTCAAAAGGTGCGTTTATGGCATAATATACCTCGAAAGCGGACTCCAATCAACATAGCGATCGAACCTTTTGACAAAATTGTCTGTGAGAACCCCTTTTGGTTCCCTGTATTCTTTCCAAATCAACGATGCAAAATTATCCATTCCTATATTAGTAATTCGTATTTCATATATTAATAATTTATTCAGACCGAAAGCGGTTTGTATTTTAAACATTTGTTGTAAATTTTTTTGTGTTATAAAAAAATATGAGTCAGAACATTTTAATATAATTCTTATTAATGTCATAAGTGAACCCCGCTTCTGAAATAATTACAACATAAGCAGTTGTCCCCTGATCGGCTACTGGACTACTTACGGCGTTTGTTAAGTCCAAATTTATTTGAATATCGTTCCTGTTCATGTCGCTGCTAAACGGATGATGATGAGTGTCCACGACGATCAGTGGGTAATTATTTACAAAGTCCACATCGTTTAGATACACATCTTCGTCTTTAAACAACACCTGCCGGATGGCGGAATAGCTTTTGTATAAAACACCATATTGTTTTTCCGTAATGTTCAGGTTCTGCGGCTCTTATGGATAGCGCAGACCATTTATTTTAACACTGTAATTTTTTATATTGACACTGTCGAATTTGCTGGGGTCCTTTGTTTGATCGTTCTTACGATTTGTCTGCAGCCCCACGATTACGAATATGGGGTTGGAAATATTCCTGAATATGTTTGATACATCAAAACTAAACGACGAGCCGAATATGCCAAATTTTTCGACACATTGCCAAGTATATTCAAATTCAAATAATCTTTATTTGTAAGTAGCATATAACATACATAAATAGTGTCAAAATACAGGTATGAAAAAGTATAATCAAAGGTTTCTTAAAATTATCAATGCTTAAATTAACATTATTTCCTACAACTCATCTAAGGAAGCTTTGTTGATACATTCATATTTAGTTTATTTATTTAAGAGGGAGGTTTAGAAATTCATCCAGCGAGTAAATTACCTCGTTAATTAAATAAGCTTTCAGTTGTCTTTTAAATTTAATTGAATTTTTTTCTTTATTAATATTTTCTGGGATTAATTTTAAAAACTGTTCACCAACGTATGTTGGTTTTTTTTTCATAGAGCTTCAGTCTGTGCTGATTTTGCCTTATAGAGTTCTTTTTTCTAGTGTTATAATGATGTGTGGGTTCGTGAGGGACATCATTAGGAATTTTGTTCTTTGCACACAAAATGACGTCAAGAACATATTGCGGAAAGTAAATAAAAGAAACGTCTTATAACACTTAAAACATATATTTACGCTTATACTGTTACTCACAAGACGGTAAATATACAAAAACGATGGTAAGTGGTGATCGATTTCGATTGGACACTCCAATCATCATCAGACCCAATAGGCGAATGACAAGAATCTTGAATGGCGTCCCTACTTATACCCTATTGGCTACCGGAAGCACCGGCCAATACATTTTTATAAGTACAACTGGAATCAAAATGTATTTGTTCATTAATCAACTTATTTCTATCTTTACATTTTTCCTTATAAATATACAATTCCTCCCAAGCATTCATTACATATCCTTTCTTACAATTCTTTAAAATATCTAGACTATCCTCCATTTTTCCTAGTGAGTGCCCATTTTGTAACAGGTGTTGTGCGACATTTGATCTTTCCGGTTTGTTGTTCCTCCACGCAGATATGTGGTTTTTGAAGCGGTTTACGAAGTTCACAGTCTGTCCAATGTAGAAGCTATCACAATCGTTACAATTGATTTTATAGATGCCCGAAGTGTCAAATTTGTTACAATCTTCTATTTTTGGATGCAGTATTTTACTCATGGTGTTCTGAGTCCTGTAGGCTATTGAAACTCCGTATTTCTTGAATCTGTTAGCAGTCCTTTGTGTTGTAGTCCCCGTGTAGCTAAATGTGATATATCTGGTGCTTTCCTCTTTTATCTCTTCTAATGTTGTTCTGCTGTTTAGTGTATTCTGTCTATCGATTTTTCTCCTCGTCTTCCTTGCGATGTCCTCTATCGTCTTGGTTCGAAATCCATTCACTTGGGCGATCTTCTTAATGGTGTCCAGTTCTTTTTTCCTATTGGCTTGGCTAAGTGGGATCTTATAGGCTCGGTACAGCATAGATCTAAAGGCTGCGGTCTTGTGGATTGTCGGATGGATAGACTTGTTGTTGATTGTAGTGTCCGTTTGCGTAGGTTTCCTGTAGATGCCAAACTCTATCTTGCTGTCTTTTCTCTCTAATGTGAGGTCCAGGAAGTTGATCTTTTTGTTTTCTTCAAACTCGTTGGTAAAGGTGAGGTTTGGGTGGTGGCTGTTTAGTGTCTGCATCATCGTTTCATGCTCCTGCTCCTGGGCTTGTCTGAAGATAACAAGAATGTCGTCTACATATCTAACATACAGTTTTACATCATGATTCTTTCTTAAATTCATTAACATTTCTTTTTCCTGGTGCTGTAAAAATATTTCTGACAAAATTGCCGAAAGTGGACTTCCCATAGCTAAACCATCTGTTTGTTCGTAAAATCTATTGTTAAATCTAAAATAATTTTGCTTCAAAACAGTCACAAGCAATTTTACAATCTGATTGACATATTCATCGTCTAAACTATTCTGCAAAAGCCTACATTTAACAAGATCTACAGTTTCTGATACAGGTATGTTTGTGTACAGATTTGCGATATCAAATGAGACTAGCCTACTATTCGAATCTATATCTATGTTCTTTACACGTTCAACAAATTCATAACTATTCTTTACATTGTATACATATTCTAATTCTAAATCATTGCTGAGCTTACTTGCTAACAATTTTGAAACATTGTAGGTAGGAGCACATTTAAAGTTAACTAATGGTCTGATGGGTACATTCTTCTTGTGTATTTTTGGGATTCCTTTCATCACGGGCGCTTTAGAATTTAGGATGTTCATCTTCTGTCGATATTCTTCGGGAATCACTCTGGTGCATCTCTTCACGACGTCGGACAGCTCTCTTTGGTACCTCTGCGTTGGATCCTTTTTCAGCTCTTTGAAGTTATTTTCTTTGATGAAATCTTCCGTCTTCTTTATATATTCTTCTTTTCCGAGCACTACGATGGCGTTGCTTTTGTCTGCTTTCACAACAATTGAGCTATTCTCTTCCAGCTTCTTCTTTATATTGTTGCATGTCTTCAGTTCTTCATTTCTGCTGGGGTCTATGGGTCCTAGGCTGGTGAAATCGTTGGCTGTCACTTCCTTCCGAACGGCATAATGGTCTACGTCTCTGAGTGATTTTACATTTGCTTCGACTTCAGTAGCTAGTAGTTCATTTTCGTCCTTCTTCTTCATTGGGAAATTGTACTTCATTCCGTAGTTCAGTATTTTCGTTTCTTCTTCACTGAATTGAATGTCTGTAAGGTTGATGACTCTCTTCTGGAATTTGTGTTCTGTATTGGTCCTATCCAAGTCTTCATTAGGTGTATTCTTCTCTACGAGTTTGTCTAATTTGTCGTTTATCCGTAAATATTTCCGGTCCATGGCGTCTTCAACCTCTTCACTGACGACTTCGTGTAGTAAATTCCACGCAATTAGTCCGTATAATCTCAAAAATTGTAGGTGGATGTCGTAGGCAATCTGGTTCAGTTCTTCTTTTTCACAGTAAAGTTGTTTGATCATATTTTTGATGAATAATACCTCTCCTTGTTCCTTTGTTCTTTTAGCGGCAGTGGTATTACAGTTGACCTTGATTTTAGCGTATTGTGGTGTATTCCCGTTCCCGGATTCCCGAAGAATATCGACAGAAGATGAACATCCTAAATTCTAAAGCGCCCGTGATGAAAGGAATCCCAAAAATACACAAGAAGAATGTACCCATCAGACCATTAGTTAACTTTAAATGTGCTCCTACCTACAATGTTTCAAAATTGTTAGCAAGTAAGCTCAGCAATGATTTAGAATTAGAATATGTATACAATGTAAAGAATAGTTATGAATTTGTTGAACGTGTAAAGAACATAGATATAGATTCGAATAGTAGGCTAGTCTCATTTGATATCGCAAATCTGTACACAAACATACCTGTATCAGAAACTGTAGATCTTGTTAAATGTAGGCTTTTGCAGAATAGTTTAGACGATGAATATGTCAATCAGATTGTAAAATTGCTTGTGACTGTTTTGAAGCAAAATTATTTTAGATTTAACAATAGATTTTACGAACAAACAGATGGTTTAGCTATGGGAAGTCCACTTTCGGCAATTTTGTCAGAAATATTTTTACAGCACCAGGAAAAAGAAATGTTAATGAATTTAAGAAAGAATCATGATGTAAAACTGTATGTTAGATATGTAGACGACATTCTTGTTATCTTCAGACAAGCCCAGGAGCAGGAGCATGAAACGATGATGCAGACACTAAACAGCCACCACCCAAACCTCACCTTTACCAACGAGTTTGAAGAAAACAAAAAGATCAACTTCCTGTACCTCACATTAGAGAGAAAAGACAGCAAGATAGAGTTTGGCATCTACAGGAAACCTACGCAAACGGACACTACAATCAACAACAAGTCTATCCATCCGACAATCCACAAGACCGCAGCCTTTAGATCTATGCTGTACCGAGCCTATAAGATCCCACTTAGCCAAGCCAATAGGAAAAAAGAACTG